ATGCAAAAAAAAAAAAAAAAAAAAAGTCTGGAAATTTGAAAGGGGAATCCTTAAATAGGGTTACCGAGAAAACTATTAGCCTAGTAAGTACTGTGGCATCCCATTCCATGGGTACCAAGCCACAAGAAAGAGGCCCTAAGAGAACCACCCAGAGAGACTGAAGAGGCCTGCAAGGGGATGTGTGGTAGTCGTTAGAGCCATGCATGAATCTGGGGCATGTGGGCAGGTTGGTCTTGCTTGCCCTCTGTGAAATAAAATTCATGTATTATGGCAAGATGAGAAAAATTTAAACATAAAGATTCTTCTCTGCCCTTTGGCCTCTCCTCTCCCCCCGCACTGTGCATTGCGTGTCTGCATTACCCATTGACAAACTCCCCCTCCGCCATGGGCAGGAATCCCTGCTCAGTCATACAGAGCAACATTCTCCTAGCACTAACAAGACAACTCCTTAAAAGGTAACATTCCTTCTTGATCTCGTAAGGCGTCACATGACCCACCAGGATGACGCTTAGATCTGGATTATGTAAACTGTCAATAACACATCATTTGATGTACAGCCCTCTGTCTCAAAAATACTTATATACCTGTGCCTTGATTTCTAACCGGTGGAACAGTTCTCAGAGCTTTCTGAGATGCTCTTCCCTGGTTATAATCCTCAAATTTGGCCCAAATAAAAATTTCCATTTCTTTCTTAGGTCCACTGATTAATTTTTCGTCGACACCTCTTTGAAATTGGGTATGACCACATGACTTTCTTCCGTCACTGAAATGTGAGTGGCAAACCTTTTTTTCCTATGTACCCATTTTTGGAGCTTCCTCCCAATGTTTTTTTTTTTTTTTTTTTATTTGCCACACCGTTCGTCATGTGGGATCTTAGTTCCCCCACCAGGGATGGAACCCGTGGCCCCTGCAGTGGAAGTGTGGAGTCTTAACCACTGGTCCACCAGGGAAGTCCCAGCATCTTCCTAATTCTTAGGGTATTCTTTCATTACCTTTTCTTGAATCAGCTCCCTTACAAATATGGTGGCCGTGTTTGTATTAGGTGACCCCCGCCCCTCCCCATGACCTCAGGTAATTGACTCATGGTGGATGCCTGACTCAAATATCAATCCAATTGAGCCAATCAGATTATCTTTTTCAGGAATGTCAAACTGTGGCAGAGAGACACTAGGAGTTTCTGTCGGGCCCTTGGAATGAGACTTCTGTTTCACCATTACCTCCGTGGTCCACCATCTCTGCATGCTGTAAATGTTACAGTAGCCTTCTCACTGGTCTCTTTGTCTCCATCCTTGCCCTTACAGCCCTGTCTCCACATAGCAGCTAGATATGTCCATACAGCAAATCAAATCATATCACTCCCCTAATTAAATTAAAGCCCTCTGATGGCTTCCCATCGGTCTTAGAATAAAACCCAAAGTCCTCATCATGGTCGACAAGGCATTTCATGGTCCCACCCTGCTAACTTCTCCACCTATATCTGTCTCCATGTGCTCCAGTCACACTGGTCTCATTTCACTCTCATGTATAACTAGACTACACCCCGCCCTGCCACAGGACCTTTGCACGTGGGATCTCAAGTCAGATGAGGATATGCATGTTGGCCTACTTCATGCCAAAGTCATAAAAGATTTTGCAAATGCAGAGACTAATCTTTTTAGTTTGTTATCCAGTTATTTATGGCTGCCTAACAGATTATCCCAAAACTTAGTGGCACAAAACAGAGTGTTGTGCTCACAGAATCTGTGAATCAGGAATTCAGATATGGCTTGTCTCTGCAACATGTTGTCAGGAACCTCGACTGGATCACTCTAAATGCTAGGTTGACTGGAACAACTGTGGAATCATCTGGAGGTTTCTACACTCATATGTCTGATGTGTGGGCTGGGATGACTTGAAGCTGGCCTCAGCTAAGACTGTTCATCTGTGGCCTCTCATTGAGTTTGGGCCTCCTCACAGCATGGTCGCTTCAGATAGCTGGACCTCTTACATGATGACGACGACTAAGGACTCCAAGAGTAAGTGTTTCAGCAAACAACTTGAAAGCCATGTTGTGAGGGAGTCCAAGCTATCCTGTCTTGCAGGATATTCCAAATGAGCGCCACTAAATGCAGCTGTATAACAGCACTCAGCCAACGTTGCACTGGAGCAGAGAATCACCCAGCTGACCCACAGACTGGTGGGAAATAATTAATTGCTGTCACTTGAAGCCACTATGTCTTGTTAACACAGTCCTTGAGAGCAGGGATCCTGTTAGGTTCATCACTACAGGTATTTACTAAAAGAATGAATAGACTCTCGTCAAGTTCATTGAGCCATGATGGTCTCTGAGTTCTCAACAATAATCGTCGTGGTCCCCAGAAGCCAGGGTTGCAGAGGTGGGGCACAAGGTCTTGGATTCACACCAACTACTAGCCAATATGGCTCTCTTGTGAAAACTGGGCAAAAGGTCCCCACTCTGAGTGGACTAATTAGAAAAAGTGAGCCCTCTGGGTGGACACAGTCCCAGGGACACATGGCTTGGAGAGCAGACTGTAGGCTCTATTTAAGCCCCACTTGCCTCCTTGTCTAGAGACCTTTGTGTAGTGACCAACTTGCACAATAATCCAGGGCTTCCCTGTTTTGCACCCTACAGACATTCCTCCCTTCTTCCTTGGTAAGAGCACCCCAATTTTCTTACTGCAAGCCACCATGTCCTTCAGAGGAGGCTGATCAACTCCCCAGCTGCAGGGGGCAAAGATTTATTGATCTGAAGCTAAGTCAATCCCAGGCTCTCATTCACCAAGCCTTACAAGGGGTCAGGGGGCATGTGACACACTTCTGGTCAATGAGACATGGGGCCAGTTGCTGGAGGATTTGGAAGGTTTCCCACACTGTTCAGAAGGGACCTAAGATAAGAACAAACCTCTTTTTGCTGCCTTGGGAAAAGGATATCTGTGTGACACCTGAGTATGTGGCAGCTTTCTTGGAACCACGGGGAGCATGTGGGAGCTGATTTAAGAGATTATGGCAGCTCAAAAAGATGGATAGAACTGGGGTCTTTTTTTTTTGACTTATTTTTATTAAAAAAAAATTATTTATTTTATTTATTTATTTTTGGTTGCTTTAGGTCTTTGTTGCTGTGCACAGGCTTTCTCTGGTTGCGGTGAGCAGGGGCTACTCTTTGCTGTCATGCGTGGGCTTCTCATTGTGGTGGCTTCTCTTGTTGCGGAGCATGGGCTCTAGGCATGCAGGCTTCAGTAGTTGTGGCACATAGGCTCAGTAGTTGTGGCTCGCAGGCTCTAGAGCGCAGGCTCAGTAGTTGTGGCGCACTGGCTTAGCTGCTCCAGCAGCATGTGGGATTTTCCTGGACCAGGGCTCAAACCCATGTCCCCTGCATTGGTAGGCAGACTCCTAACCACTGCGCCACCAGGGAAGTCCCAGAACTGGGGTCTGGTTGAGCTGCTAAATTAACCCTGGAGATGTGCCACCTCTGGTCCTGTTGTGTGAGACACATGAACATGTTATTTAAACAAGTTAGTTGGGACTTCTGTTACTTGCAGCCTGAAGCATTATGGTACAAGAGGGCAGTGTTCTGGAACATGTAATAATGTGCTTCTCATACCTTGGAACAGATCTTGGGGGAGCCAGAAAAGGGGAATGGAGTGCTGAGGACCAGCTAACATCAGTGCTTGAGGAGTGGGGACAGGTCTGCCGCGATCCCAGTCCAATCTGGCAGGAAGGCTGCCTCTGGCTTAAAGACTTTGAGGAAGGGAGAGTCTGGGAGGGTATAATTGGCCAGGTAGATGGTCTCTCCACCTGCGAGGTAGGCGGCCCAGATCCCAAACGTCCCAATGGTCATGACGGTGTGATTACATTGCGTGAGTAATGCAAAGTCCTTGGCGGGTGAGCCCTCAATGCCGTTGCCGGCAAAGACCACATCCCCGCGGGAGGCCTCAATGTTTTCCCGACACCAGGCCATGCCGTTGCTGGTGACCACGAAGATGGGGGAGGGGTAGCGAGCCCGGAACCAGTCCAGGGCCTGCTGCAGGTAGCCCCGGTCGGCCACCACGCCCTTCCACACGTTGGGCATAACGTGGACGTAGTCCCCCCGGCGCACGTGGACCCCTACGTAGGTGCTCGGCCGGCTCCCATTCACCTGCAGAGCCCGCAGAAAATTCTGGGCCTCCTCGCGCACGTGGTCGTGCAGGGTGAACTCCTGGAGGATCTCGGCGCGGAGGTGGTGGTAGAAGGTCCAAGAGCAGGGGTAGCCGGTGAGGCGCACGTACTCGCCCGGGATGTGTCGGTACCCCCCTTCCCTCCCGCCGTTCCGGGGGTAGTTCTGCCAGGGGATCCTGCTGGCCGTGGTGTCGTGCAGGACGGGGAGGGTGATTCTGAAGATGGGGGCCAGCGTGCTGTGCATCTGGGGCGGGATGAAGGCCGGCCGCCCGTTCATCTTGGCCAGGGCGTACAGGGTGGCGTACTCCCCCATCTGGTTCCCCAGGCGGCCTATGGCATTGATCGTCCACATGCCCTTTGGCTGCGGGCTCCGCTGGGGGCCCGAGGGAGATTCCTTGGTTGCTGGCTCCAGCATCTGTAACTCCCATGTGGGCTGAATCTTCGCTAGCCTCTGCTGAAGGTGAAATATGGTGGAAGCCGTGAAGACAAAGAGGATGAAGGGGGCCGTGGGGAAGAAGAAAGGTGCCTGTGTGCTGAGCATGGCTGTTAGGAGAGGGAGAGCAGGAAACGGTTAGCTCAGGGGACGGAGGCCCTGGGCTAGTGCATGAAGCTGGCAGCGCAGTTGTCCGGGCTGACATTGCGTGGACATATGTACGTGTGGATCTACTTTGCGTGTGCATGGAAATGAGTGTGAATATTCGGGTTACATGTATGCAGGTACAGCTCTGGAGTGTGTGTTATGTGGCTGTGTCTCCACTGGACTCATATTTGCATGTTTACATGTGTATATGCACTGTATGTATATAGACACCCATGGCATGTGCATTGTATGAGTAGATATGGGTATTTATACGTTGTGTATGTATGTGAGTGTGGAATTGCGTGCAGGTGAATGGACATGTGTACATTGTATTGTACGGTTGTGTATATATAGGCACACCTGATTCTATTGCACTTTGCAGTACTGCATTTTTTACAAGTTGAAGGTTTGTGGCAAACCTGCATTTTCAGATGATGGTTAGCATTTTTTAGCAATCAGGCGTTTTTTAAAATTTTTATTTCACACATAAAGTATGCAGATCTTAAGTGTCTAGACTGATGAAGTTTTGTTTTGTTTTGTTTTTTTTATCTTTTGGCCACAGCACATGGCATGTGGGATCTTACTTCCCCCACCAGGGATGGAACCTGCGTCCCCTGCAGTGGCAGCACAGTCTTAACCACTGGACCACCAGGGAAGTCCCGCAATCAGGTTTGTTGTTGTTGTTTTTGTTTTTTTAACTCTAATACAGTATTTATTTTTCATTCACCAGGTCTTTTTTTAAATCAGGTGTTTTTAATTAAGGTATGTACTTTGGGTTTTTTTAGATATAAAGCTATTGCACGTTTAATAGACTACAGTACAGGGTAAACACAACTTTTATATGCACTGGGAAGCCAAAAGAAATTGTGTGACTTTGTTGTAATATTTGCTGTATTGTGGTGGTCTGAAACCAAACTCAAAATATCTCTGAGTGACATTTGTATTGTGTACATATAGGGGTGTGTACTACATATGTGGTGTGCAGGTGACTGTGAACAAATAGCATGTGTGTATACATGACGCTACGCATACATTACGTGTATACACATTGTATGTTGAAATGTGGGTGTTTATAGACTGTAAGTATACATGTGTGGCTGTCTATATATAATGAGTTCAAGTGTACCAACCTACTATTTACTGGGGATCCAGTTTCTTTTTTTTTATAAATTTATTTATTTGTTTTTATTTTTTTGGCTGTGTTGGGTCTTCGTTGCTGTGCACAGGCTTTCCCTAGTTGCAGCGAGCGGGGGCTACTCTTCATTGCGGTGCGTGGGCTTCTCATTGCGGTGGCTTCTCTTGTTGCGGAGCACAGGCTCTAGGTGCGCGGGCTTCAGTAGTTGTGGCTCTCCGGCTTAGTTGCTCTGTGGCATGTGGGCTCTTCCCAGACCAGAGATCGAATCCGTGTCCCCTGCATTGGCAGGTGGATTCTCCACCACTGCGCCACCAGGGAAGCCCGGGATCCAGTTTCTAGAGATGTCCATCTCTGCATGCCCTGCCTATCTATATCCCCTTTGATGGGAAATTGCCCTGCCCATCAAGAGCTTGACCTGTCCACCCTCCTGGCCAGAGATGACTGAACTTGAGATAGATGCCTGGCTCCACAGTGGCTTCTCCTTTCCTTGGTTAAGGTCTTGAGAAGTGTAGGCTGGCTCTAAAAGACGAGTTGGCCAATTCACTCTTTTGAGTATTTTTATTAAAAGGCTCAGAAGGCAGTTGGTAGGTGAGAGTTTTTTCCTCCTGATGCCATTCGGGTGTCCAACAATTCAAGTCAAATCTGACACTGTCTTCCTGGACTGAGTATCAGATCCCACAAGTGAAACAGTTCAACTCCAGACTGCCTCCAACTTCAGACACCAATCTCAAGTCCAGAGCCATTCATACTCTGACTGACCAGTCATAGATCAGGGATTCCCATGACCAGGAAACTACCAGGCTTGATAATTTGCTAGAATGGCTCACAGAACTCAAGACACTTTACTTATGTTTACTAGTTAATTATAAGGGAGACAAATGAGTATTCAGAAGAGGCCCACAGGAGGTCCAGAAGGGTCTGAGCACAGGGCTTCTGTCCCCTTGGAGTTGGGGTAGAACACCCTCCTAGCTCATGTTTGCTAACTCAGAGGCTTCCTGAAACCCATTGTTTAGGGGTTTTATGGAGGTATCATTATGTAGGTGCGATTGATTAAATCATTTGGCCACTGGTGATTTGCTCTATCTCTGGTCCGTCTCCCCTCCTCAGAGCTGAAAAGTGCCAAACTTCTAATGAAGGCTTGGTCTTTCTGCTGACCAGCTTCCATCCTGAAGCCATCTAGAGGGCTGGCAACAGTTGCCTCATCAAGTCCTATCACTTATCAATGAGAAAATGCCAAGGATATTAGGTGCTATGTGCCAGGAACTGGGGACAAAGACCGAAGATCATTCTATGACACCACAGCAGGTAATCTTGAAAGGGAGAGTAGGGGTAGGTGTGGCTGGGACATATCAGTTGCAGGCTGAAGCAGAGGAAGCCAGTAACCAGAAGATACCTGAAGATACCTGAAGAGATGTGCAGACACCTCAAAGGAACTTCAACTACTGATCAAGAAATCCCAGAAAATCTGCTTATATTTGAACACATACAACCTGTTCCTTTCAACTCTGGTTACAGCAGAGGCTAGTTCCAGGAGTTAGGGTGGTTGCATAGAACAGACCTCCTGAAAACACATGGGACTCACTATGGTATTGAGACAGGAGGGAAGGGGGCAGGGCACACCCTTAAAGAACGACACAGCCACTGAGAAAAACAGGGTGTGACAAAAACTGGTTAGGGGCTTCCCTGGTGGCGCAGTGGTTGAGGGTCCGCCTGCCGATGCAGGGGACACGGGTTCGTGCCCCGGTCCGGGAAGATCCCACATGCCGCGGAGTGGCTGGGCCCGTGAGCCGTGACCGCTGAGCCTGTGTGTCCGGAGCCTGTGGTCCACAATGGGAGAGACCACAACAGTGAGAGGCCCGCGTACCGCAAAAAAAAAAAAAACCCCAAAAAACAAAACTGTTTAGAGCCAGTTAGGTCCAAGATGGCGGAAGATTCGACTTCCAGTAGACCCTGAGCCTCATTCTATGCTCATTGTAATACATTAGCATATGCTAAATGACACACCCACAGGGGCCACGACAGTTCCGAGGCTGACCATAAAAGCCCAAAAAGTGGGCGATGGTCCAGTTCCTGGAAATCTCTGTCCCTTCTCCAAAATAGGTGGAATAATCCTCCCACTTCTTAGCCTGTGAAATTTCCCAGCCCATAAAAACTAATCACCCTGTATCTTGGGGCCACTCTCACCTTCTGAGATGGTGTGCATTCTGCCTATGGAATGTGTATCTCTCTAAATAAACTTGCTTTCACTTTACTATGGCCTGCTCTTGAATTCTTTCCTGTGCAAAGCCAAGGACCCTCACTTGGTGGCCCGTCCCAGAGACTCACCCGAGACCTGGGACATGACAATCCTCTCACACCACATTCTCCTGCGACATCATCACAGGAGGTCGAGGGCATTGAGGATTCCCCATCTTGGGTCATAAATCTTGACCCAGTGGTTTATAGAGTGAAGCAGTTAATTAAGCTATTGGCTGAGATTGTTTAGAACAAATCAAAGGCCCCGGAAGGATGAGGTTGCAGAGCATAAGTAAAGGAAAGCAGGAAATGTATTGGTTCTGACTCCCCAGTACGTGGCTAGAAGCCAGCAAGGAAACGCAGAAAGATCCTTCCTTAATGTCATCACCGTTAACACCTTACTGTTGCTAAGACCCCGTCTAGAAATGATTGATGGGCTTTGTCCTTCTGCAGCCTAGGCTGGACCAACACATGTGGCCACAGGGAAAGTCCAGGTCCGGCCACTGACTCAGCAAGCTTGTTCTCTGA